AGGCCAGCGGCAGCTCTGCCAGCTCAGGAAGGCATGCTCTTCCTCTGCCCTTCCCTCTCAGCTCTTTCCCAGGAGCTTCTGAGGTGGGGGAAGTGACAGGCCCTGGAGGCACCTCCGACAGGGGCTGTGACCAACAACTCTAGGGGCACCATGCACAGACCAAATGTTTTCTACAAAGGGCCACGCACGTAAGTCTTTTAGGCTTTGCAGGCCAGATCTGTCCCAACTATTTAACTTTGCCATTAGAGCAAGAAATCAGCTGAATACAATGTGTACATGCATGGACGTGGCTGTGCGCCTCTGAGTTTGTTTACAAAACAGAAGGTGGGCCTGCGATTGGTCCCCACCCATGACACAGAGGATTGCAAGTGCCCCCTACACCCCACCACTGGGTCAGGGCAGAAAGGCCTGAGGTCTGAAGCCTGCTGGCAGTGAGGCAGCTGGAGTTTCTTCAACCAAACTCACTGAATTCATCCAATCCCCCAAGCACAGAGGCTCCTCCCAGGCAGCCCACCTCACCTTCTTCCTGAGGCTGATTCCTCTCAGCTCCACCTCCTCACCCTCCTGACCACAGCTGAGCTCAGCTCAGGGCATGTTGTTCCCTTCCTCCCACAAGCGCACTCTGCTGTGGCCCGCGCTCCTCTGAAGACCCAGGTCTGGGGTCTCCTCTCTGCAGAAGGAAGACACTTGGCCAAGTGGCCTCCTCAGCTCCCGAGTGTCCCGGGAGCCCACGCGGTGCCCTGTGGACAAATTCTCCTGGCTCCCTGGGCTACAGTATGCCTGGGGCAGCCCGGCCTCCCCTTCACCTCAGGCACACAGGTAGCCTGAGAGCAAAGCTCTGCAGTCTCCAGACGGGAGGATTGGGGCACTGCCATCAGTCAGGGATGCAGCTAACTTACCGCCAGTAATCCTGCTCCCCCCCCACCCCCACCACCACCTGGTCTCTTACTCCGCTGGCCTGTGGTTTAGTAACTGTTTCAACAATAAGGCTGGTTAAGCAACTGGCTGCTCCAAGGGTCATGCTGCCACGCACCCTGATCTTGAGCCCACTTCTCAGGGGGTGAGTTCAGTGCAGTGCTGGGGTCCAACCCCAGCAGGTCCAGGGATCCCCCAAGGTGTGGACGGAGTCGGCGAAGAAGGAATGACACGGAGGCAGCGTTCAGTTGATGAGCATGGTTGGGTTCTCCCTCCAGGATCTCCAGTCAAGTTCTGTCTAGGTTCTCCAGCCAAGTTCTGTAGCCATGTTCTCTTGCTAGGTTCTCCAGCCAGGTTCTAGCCCGGATCTCCAGTCAGGTTCTGTCGCCAGGTCTAGTCAGGTTCTCTTGCCATGTTTTCTTGCTAGGTTCTGTCTCTAGGTTCTGTCTCTGGGTTCTCTCTCTAGGTTCTGTGTAGGATCTCCAGCCAAGTCCTGTCTCTAGATTCTGTCTCTCTCAGTCGGTAGAGCATGAGACTCTTAATCTCAGGGTCGTGGGTTCGTGCCCCACGTTGGGCGCCAGTTGCTGGGGTCCAATCCCAGCGGGTCCAGGGGTCCCCAAAGGTGTGGACGGAGTCGGCGAAGAAGGAATGACACAAAGACAGCCTTCAGTTGATCAGCAGCCTAGTCAGGACCTCTAGCCAGGATCTCCAGCCAAAGTTCTGGTCGGAGTTCTGGTTAGAAACTGATCAGGATCTGATGAGGAGCTGATGAGGAGCTGATGAGGAGCTGATGAGGATCTGATCAGGTTGAGTTGTTTATTGTCTTGTTACATCCGTATTTATACCAGCCGATTTTAATCCTGTCAATTTCTATTACAAAGGTTAGGGCGTTTCTTATCTCCATTCCAGGGAGTAAAGATTATGTAGCTTAACTACCCGCCTGGCACTTAATTAAGGGGTTGTATCCCCTCCCTAACCTCAGGGAAAGATCCCCACCTGGGGAAACAACCTTTCTCGGAGAGGTGACCTTGGTCAAAACACATGGCACTAAGGAGAGCAAACATTAAGAACAGTATGCCATATACGTCAGGTACCTCGAAACATATGCTGTGCAGATGTTTCTTCTCTGCAGCAAGGATGGACCGGCTCCCGGCAGTGCAGCCTGGATGTTTCACACCAGCACCCCTGTGTGAACTGCTTGTCTGCACTCCCACGTCCCTGGCTGGGACAGGTGAGGATGATTCCCCCAGAGGGGCGCGATTTCTGCCCCTGATGTGCAAGCCAGAGGATCTCGCCGAGTGCAGGAAAACACTTTCATGGCCACACTTTTTAAAGAAACGTTTTATTGCTGCATTTAGACACCCCCAAAGGATTATTCAAGTGGTAATACTGAGAAACAGCGAACACACAAAAGGATACAAAACTCGACATCAGAGAACGAGAAACTCCCCAAGTGCCTTTTAGAAGCTATGCCACACGTGCCAGTGAAATTTGGTTTTTATTAACAATCAACATTCTAGAAACATTGCATCTAAATAGGTGGTGAGCTGTTTAGGTCTTCCCTGGGTGAGAGATGGAAGCTGCCTATTTCAAATCAGACCCAAAGGGTAACTATTTCAAACGTGTTTGCATCAGGCCAGCTCCCCAGCATCATGGGTGTCTGCCCTGCGGTGCCCAGGCCTCCCAGCAGGCAGCTGCCCACCAGGCCCAGGAGCTCCAACCCCGTCAGGCGTTGGCCGAGGCTCGAAGTGGCCCACTGCCTGCAGCCTGCACACCTGTAGCCAGGAAGGGTGCACCTGAGGTTTGAAAACTAGACCCATACGGCTGACAAACATGGATTGGAGGGGGGAAAAAAGTGGGAGAAGGCATGCTAGAGGCCTGGAGTAGGAAGAGACCTTTTACAGTTTTTAGGAAAGTTTTAAACTCGGGCACAAAACCCAAATTACTGCTGGCAGCCGAAGAAGTCAGAACCCCTTGAGTTGTGCTGTAACTTTGGGGGAATAAAGGCCACATCAGGGAAGGCTGGGGGTGACTCCCGAGGGCCGTTTCATCTCCTCCTTGCAGGCCCACAGGTCCCCGCCCTCTTGGCCCCGAGACCTGCAAGCTCACCTCGTTTCTATACGGTTCAGCCAAATGCCGCCTCCCGGTAAAGCCAGGTGCAAAGGAGGGGGAACCAGGGATTAACCCCCAAAGTACTTAGAGGGCAAGTGAGAGACTGAAGGGAGCGCCTGGCAGCTCCGCTGTCCCCACTGGGTGGCAGCACAGCACACGCTGCGGGCCGAGTGCCTCCCTTAGGCCGGGAAGAGCAGAGCTCGGACTGAGGAGGGGCAAAGGCTCAAGGAGACCTGCAGGCCAAGACGGAGGGAGCACCTGTGTGTCCTTCGGGGGAGGAAGAAGGGCTTGGGAACCTGGCGGCAGGTGATGAGAGGGTGGCGGGCCTTCCTGAACAGCAGGAGGTTCACATAAAACCCTGTTGGGCGTGAGAGCAACACAGTGGCGGTCACAGGGCGCCTCCCTGCCTGTCACAACGGGTGCCAGCCTCATGGGGAGGCGGCCGGAGCTGCTGGGGCCGGAGCACACTTACTCCTCGGTGGGAAGTCTCTGTACTTTTCAAGTTCAGCATAAGCCGTTCCCTCAGGGGAGAGGGCAGGACCCCACTTAAAAACCTACCCGTCTTCACCCACCCGCGGTCAGAGGGGGACAGAGACGGCCGTGGCGAGGCCACTCCTAAGGGGCAGCCGGGGATGACCAGGATTCAGCAACCCTGAGTGAATGGTCCGCCTGGTCTCAGGCTGAGGGGGTGGGTAATTGCACTTTGGGCTGGATGGGGCCTGGGAGACAGCGAGAGGGAGAGCTGACCCATGTGCAGGGCTAGGCCGCAGCCCTGGCTGCCCAGGCGAGGAAGGCAGCGCAGAGCCGAGCCCGGGACCCTGAGTTGGATCCCGGGGGGAGGAGGTGGCAGAGGGCAGTCTGCTCCACGCGCTCCCCAGGGCTGACACCCTGCGGCCTCCTGGCTTTCCTCTCAGCACACAGGCCAGGCGTCAGGCTCAAAGCACTAGGGCAGGCC